CACCGGCGAGTAAAGACAGCAAGCTGCAGAATATTCGTGAAAAGACACGCGCGCGCTTGATTGCGACATGCTTGAGCAACGTTTGGCTCTGTGCCGAGAGTCAGTGAACCAGAATGACTGGTCCCAGTGAAACTTAAATAGCGATTGAAGAGAACGCAATGGATGAACCCCCCCCCCCGGGGATGTGTTTTGTGGTTCCCAGTTAACCGAATTCGCCTAGGCTGGTAGAAAGCCATGCTTCACTGTTCATATGAGGCAATTTCAAGCAGTGCCATTACAACTGGCATACTGCATAGAACGGAGTGGGGTCCGTGTGAATGTGAGCTGGCGGATACGGTGAGTGAGAAGTCCAGGATGATGCGAACTGCTATTTTTTCGGAGGTGTACATGTAGTGCACAGTTCCTCACTATAGATAATCTGGCGTGCTTGGGTGCAACACAGTGCGCTAACAGCCGTGGATAGGAAGATTGCCAAGCGAAGATTCAACTCAGACCTCGCAGTCAACCCAGTGTGTGTTTCTGGGGAGTGGCAGCCTGATGGACTGAGAGTCGGGTTGAGATGGCTCCTTTTTAATGTTACCTCTATGGCACTTACGCATGCGGGGTGCGAGCCATCCAACTCCTTCTTACGGAGACCCGGTGTGTTGTGCAAGGGCCGGTCATTTGTGTGGCACGCGCAGACGGACGTCTTAGCTCGGTCAGACAAAAGTTGACTGACCGGCTGGGATAGTGGACTGGTGTGCGGAGAAGGGAGTGAGGTCGACTCTCGGCACTATAAGTAGTCTGAGGCGTTTGGAGGGCTTCTAACTGATGAGATAACTCGGTTTTCTCAGGATGGATGGTCAGGCTCATTCCGAATTATTGCCCCTACAGCATTCCCACTGATTTGGGATTAGAACCGCCTCCTGCTGAACTGTCACTTTCATGAAATCCTAACCCATCGTGCGCGGACTAGGCGTGGTGTCTGGCACGCGCAGTTTGGCTGCCTAACTCTGCCGGGCACTGCGTCCGACACCGCCTCCAGTTTCCTCGACTCTGTCATGACACCCGATCTAGTAGAGTAAGGGGGAAGCGCGGTAGATGCAGTGAAAGTTCACTGCAGCTAATTCCCGCGGAAGTCACCGTCCTTGTGCCCGCACTGGAGGGGGGCATATGGTGAACATTGTCGGAAACATCATTACTGGCATAGGCCTCCCAGTACATGCCCTGTAGAAAGGGTTGGTGTTGCTTTGCGATAACAACTGTGAAAAAGACGACGAAGACACGATCATTTGAGCGATTGGTTTGCTAGTCTGAGATCTTGAACTCCTACAGGAGTTCATCATCGAAGACTATACGGGTGCAACAACGACTTAACAGTCCTAGTGACAGCGTCTTCGTATTCCTTTCAACAAGAACCTTAGAAGCACATATTCGCCTCCAAAAACTCGAAACAGTGACTGCAATCCTAGAAATGCCTGCAAGCTTAGGAGAGGGTCACATGCTGATGGGCAGGAAGAAATAAGTTCAAGTTGGCTCCCACATCGTAGCACGGTAGTCCTTTCCCGTCTGCCTGTCGATCACGCGGGCAAAAAAAGTTGGACACCCGAAAATTACCAGCTTTCTGTGGATTTTAGCGTCTGTCAATCAGTCTTCTAAATCCTAGGAGAAAGGTCCCTGCTAGACTGGCTACGGCACTTAGTCGTACTTGAGGCAGCTGTTATCATACCTGATGTAGCTAGTCTCGATTATGCTATGAACTGTAGCCCGTCGCGCGTGACAATCCGCGACAGTCAATCTACAAGAATTCGAGCCTTCCTCCCCTCCAGAGACGGAGATCGAATACAGATGGTCAGGGCACCACTTTCACGCCCTAGCGAGCTGTGTCAGGACAGGTTTTGAGCTGACCTCCTCTTAGATGCCTCCGGCCAGTGATGATCGTCTACGGCCTGACGACTGAGCGCTGAACTGCCATGTAGATTACCCTAGAAGTGGCCATACGCCATTGGAAATGGTTGCTCGCCGTCTAACACGACTTAACCTGCCACCTAGTAGGATCTTGGAAAACTGGACCAGTGTGCCAGAGGGAGGGCGCACGCCCGCCTTCGAAGAAAAGTGCTCTGAAGGAGCATATCTCAACCAAGGTGGCAGAGCTATAGATTAAATTGACTTTTAGGTGATGACGAGTCACGCCCTGGTTCGACAACTAGGCATTTTGTGGGAAATTACGCCTCTTCGGGACTTAATACACACTAACAAACCAGGCCTCTTGCAAGACAAAAAATGAGCTTCGCAGCGTCCACTCCTTAATCCCCCCCCGGGCCAGGCTGATGACTACTAAGGCGCACTCCGGTCACCTGCGCAGGGCGGCCATGCCGATTGATTCGTGGGTACCTGTACTTGGTACGACCGCGATCATGCCCAACCTAGCCAGCCTCGACGATGTCCCGCCGGACGATTCGCAGCGGCAGGTCCGAACAGTTCAATCCATTATCTTCGCCAACGACGGCGACCGAATACCGAAGGTCCACGAACCACTTCCACGTCTTGACGAACTGAGTTGTGCCAGGTTCTGAATTGATCCCCTCCTCGACGCCTCCAATGGGGTAACGGTGCCGGATCGAGGGCAGTGACACTGCGCTCCTGAGGTGGACGACGAAGCACATGCCCAAACCACCTCAGTCGTCTTTCTTGGATGGCCTGAGATATCCTCACGATGCCGCAGCGAGTGCGGACTGTCACATTTGAGACGAATTCGGTGAACTTCGCTTGAAGGATGGTTCTCAAGCAATGGCGGTCAAATATCTTCCGCGCGCGAAGCCCAGCATTCACAAGGATAGAGGACAGACCGAACAGATGCACGGTACACGCGAATCCTTGTGGTGATGGAGATATCGCGTAGGATCCATAGGCATTTCCAAAGGCTTGAGAAAGCTCGCCGGGTAGCCAGCGGCTAGACTAACGGGCGACCCGTTTTCCCATTGACAACCCCGCGGGCTCAGCAAGGCAATACTACCGCCCTCAGAGTCCACGAGGACTACGTCCAACTTCGTGCTTATAACAACTCCCACCTGCCCGATGGCGACATGCACTAGAGAAGTTCGTAAGCACAAATGAAGCCAGCAGGATCTGTTCCATGAACATTCGAGTGATTGACCAAAATCCAAGCATTCATTGACGGTCACTGCTTAAAAGTGTACGACAAATCCTCACCACGTGAGCTGTTCGTGAAAAAGGGTAAAGGTGGTGGTGCCGGCGGTTAAAAACGGGCGGTAACAGCTTGGAGCAGTCCAGTCTACAGCTTATTCTGGAGCTGCGGTCTTACAACACCATCCGGCATCTCACCCTCGTGCACGTCAAACCGATGGTAAACTTAAATGACAATGCAGACGACAGCCAGGATTTGGCTACCGGCTCTTTGTTCTCTGGACTGCAGACTTAGAGGTAGGCCGGACGAAACAATCACATTGCGCAAAGCAAACGAATACTTAATGGGAAAAAATAAACTTTGGGGAAGAGAGTGCGTTTATTGCAGGGTTAGAAATCTGGAAACAGGGCGCGCGAAACAGAGAAGTACAAGATTACGAGGGAGAGGGGGAGAGAGAGGATACAATGTCAGCTTACAGCGTCTAAGCTCGTCGATGAGGGGGGTGGGGCGATAGAGGCAGTATGAGCAAGAGTCTAGACATGCCCCCGCCTCAGAAAATCCACGAACCATGTCGGTATATTTACAGATCTACACGAATGGCAGGGTACAGAAAGCGTGCACTGGCACCAACGAAGGTATTTTTATGTAATAATGGAAACATGGTTAGCGGGTTCCAGATGACAATTCGTTCTTTTTTTATAGGGCAAAGTAAAGCTATAGAAAAAAGCAAAATATGTGAAAAAGTAATGAACTGGGTAGGGGAAAAAACAGGACAACTGTGCTGCCGAAACTGTTATGACCGTAATTTGATAGTCACAAGAGGCTTGGGAACGAACAAAATTTTGCTTCTGTTTTAGTACGGATGAGGGTGATGAATATAAGTCAGTAATGTAGTCCGCCGTAAGAATTAG